TAAACAAGTGGGAAGACATTAAACTACAAAGTTTCTGCATAGCAAAGGAAATCATCAACAAAATGAAAAGGCAACATAATGAATGGAAGAAAATATTTGCAAATAATATATCTGATAAGGGGTCCATAACCAAGATAGATATGAAAACCACACAACTCAACAGAAAAAAAATAAGCAATCTGATTTAAAAAAGGGCAAAGGAGCTAAATAGATATTTTCTCAAAGACGTACAGATGGCCACCAGGCACATGAAAATGTGCTCAACACCAGCACTCATTAGGGAAATGCAAATCAAAACCACATGAGAGATCACCTAAAACCTGTTAGAATGCATGTCATAAAAAATGCGAGACAGCCGGGACCGGTTTGGCTCAATGGATAGAGCGTCGGCTTGGGGACTGAAGGGTCCCGGGTTCGATTCCGGTCAAGGGCATGTATCTTGGTTGCGGGCATATCCCCAGTGGGGGGGTGTGCAAGAGGCAGCTGATCGATGACTCTCTCTCATCGATGTTTCTAACTCTGTATCTCTCTCCCTTCCTCTCTACAAAATCAATAAAATATATTTTTAAAAAAATGTGAGACACAAGAGGATAAGAATGCAATTTGGGACAGTCACTATGGAAAATAATGTATAAGTTTCTCAAAAAATTAAGTGTTGACCTATGAACCAGACAGAGGTCATAGTTCTATTCCCTGTCGGGGCATAAGCCCAGTTTACAGACTTGATCCCCCGCAATGCATGGAGGAGGCAGCTGATAATTATCTTCCATCGTTGATGTTTCTATTTCTCTCTTCCTCTCTGAAATAAGTAAAAATCTATTAAAAGAAGAAAAAAAAAGATCCAGCAATCCAACTCCTGAATATATACCCTAAGGCAGTGGTCAGTAAACTGTGGCTCTCAAGCCACATGCGGCTCTTTGGCCCCTTGAGTGTGGCTCTTCCACAAAACACCACGGACTGGAAGTGGCATTAGAAGTTTAAAAAATGTGGCTCTCAAAAGAAATTTCAATCGTTGTGCTGTTGATATTTGGCTCTGTGGACTAACGAGTTTGCTGACACTGCCCTAAGGAAATGAAAACAGGATATTGAAGAGCTATCTGTATTCCCAGGTTTACTACAGCATTATTCATTATAGTCCAGAAATGAAAACAACTTGTACAATTCAACCGATGAATGGATAAGTGTGGTATATACATATATACAATGGAATATTCAGCCAAAAAAGAAAACCTTACCTATTTTAACAACAAGGATGGACCATGAGGGTATTATGCTAAGTCAAATAAGCCAGAGAGAGAAAAACAAATACTATATGATATGCTTATATGTCTGAAAAAGAAATCAAAAGCAGAGACACTGATAGTAGGAAAGTGGTCTCCAGGGGATAGAGGTGGGGGAAACAGGGAGAAGCTGGTAAAGGATACAAACTTTCAGCCTAAAGGTGAATACTACGGTGCCAAGACCTTCCTATCGGAAACTGGATAGCCATGAACAGACGAATAAAATTGGATCCTTATCTCAAAGTATATATAAAAATCAATTTCAAAATAGATCAAATATCTAAATGTAAGAGCTAAATCTATAAAATTCTTAAAACAGAGGAGTAAATCTTCATGCCTGGATTTGGAAAAGGAGGGTTAGAGATGTCAGTAAAAACATAAGCAATAAAAGAAAAATGTGATAAAGTGGACTTCAAATTTAAAACTAGTGCTTTAAAGGACACTGTGAGAAGACAAATCATGCTATGCAAATATCTGCCAATCAGTCATCTAATAAGGGACTTGTATCCAAACTTAAAACAGCAACAACAAAACAACTCTTACAACTCAATAAAAAAACAACACAGAGCCCAATTAAAAAATAAAGGATCTGCCCTAGCTGTTGCTCAGTGGTTAGAGCGCTGGCCCGTAGACTGAAAGGTTGTGGGTTTGACTTTCAGTTGGGGGGACATACCTAGGTTGGAAGTTTGACCCAAACCCATGGTGCCAGCACATGTAGAGGCAACCAACTGATGGCTCTCTCTCTCTCCTCCCCATCCCTCCCTTCCATAAAAATCACTGGGAAAAATACATCAGATGAGAGAAAGAAAAGGGGAGAGAGAAACATCCATATGAGAGAGAAACAGCATTAGGTTGCCTCCTGTACACACCCTAACCAGGAACCAAACCAGCAACGTGGGCACGTGCTGACGGGAAATCATACCTGCGACCTTTTGGTGCATGGGACCACCTGAGCCGCACCGGCCACAGGCAAACACTGGCTGTTTAAGCCACAAGATCGGTCACACTCTGAGACATCAATAGAAATGATACGTCTCTTTCAGGTTGGGCCCTGTACTCCGCACTGATCACTTGAATATAACTGTACTCTTTTAACATCCCATTAGCTGCTAAAAACAATCCAAAATTTCTCTTTAGAAGCCATTTTAAACAGGCGAAAGAACATTAATCCTGAACTCAACACTTAAGAGTACAATTAGCTCTCAAACTACTAACTAGTACTATAACGAATTAGGAGAATGCTTCTGGAAGGAAATATCTATGAAAAGCTTTAAAATATCTTAGTCTCTTTATTCTGGTTAATTCTCCTGGCAGATTTATAAGTAACAAAAAAAAATTTTTTTAAGGACAAATATTTATGTTCAAAAATATTCATAGCAGCTCCACTTATAATGACTAAATTTTTTAAAAATTAGAAAATTATTGAATAAGTAATGGTACATCCATATTATTAAAAATTATGTGAGAATCTTTAATGACATGGAGAAATACTTAAGGTATAATCAGAAAAGACAAAATATGTAAATACATAATAAAAACTTAAGTAAATTAAAACAAATACACCTATTATATACATGAGGGAGAATAAAGATGCAGGAGAAATAATATAAAAAAGTTAACAGTCATTTCTATAATAGGAATATGGTCATTTTAATTTTCTCTTTAAACATTTAAAATTTCCAAATTTTGACAACATGCACATTTATTATTTAGAATCCATCTCACTACAAGCAGATAGCTTAAGGTTCTAAAAGGTAAGCCTTGATGGTTATAATTGAATCATGAGGCCACCGTTTGCCAAAGAAACTTATATTACATGCTAAATAAACTACAATATTCACATTATCGCTGAAACCAGTTTGGCTCAGTGGATAGAGCATCGGCCTGCGGACTGAAAGGTCCCGGGTCAGAGGCATGTACCTTGGTTGCGGGCACTTTCCCAGTAGGGGTGTGCAAGAGGCAGCTGATCGATGATTCTCTCTCATCGATGTTCCTATCTCTCTCCCTTCCTCTCTGTAAAAAAAATCAATAAAATGTATTAAAAAACAATCAAATGTCACTTTCTTAAAAAGGCCTACTGAACCCCCTATTTAACACCAAAACTTGCCTTTCCTCCTGGCATCCTTCACTCTGTTCTACCTTTCTCTATAGTGTTATCATCTTCCAAAAAACTATATAATTTTAAAAAGTGGGACCTCATTTAGTCACTGATATGTCAGAAGAGCCAGACACAAGCAACAGGTGCTGAATAAATATTGAATACTAGAGGCCTGGTGCATGAAAACTCATGCACTGGAGGGGGGGTCCTCAGCCTGGCCAGCCCCCTCTCAGTCTGGGGGTCCTCAGGGGCAGGAGAGGGGGGTCCCTCAGCCTGGCCGGCCCCCTCTCAGTCTGGAGGTTCTCAGGGGCAGGAGAGGGGGGGTCCCTCAGCCTGGCCGGCCCCCTCTCAGTCTGGGGGTCCTCAGGGGCAGGAGGTGACTTGACGATCAGGGTAAGGTGACACCCCATCTCACCGCTTCCGACCGGCCCTGGGTGACTGGGGGGCTAAGGGGACTGGGCATCACTGTCTTTTTGAGGGTGTGATAGTCAATTGGCATATTCCCTCCTTATTGGCTGTGGGCACCATCATCTTTGCAATGGTGTGAGGGTCAACTAGCATATTCCCTCTTCATTAGATAGAATATGGATATACTACTGATATGTCAAAGAACAACCTCTAACAATTATACCTACCACTTTAAAAAAAACTTGACAATTTTCTGCACATGCATAACCAAGCAAAATATATGGCCTATCAGTTCTTAAAAGAAAATTTGGCCATATTTATCATTTCTATGTGTTTGTTAGTTTGTGTTTACCAAAAACTCATAGTTGATTTATTGAAAAGTATCCCAGTTTTATTTTAACATTGTACAATATAGATGATATAACCAGGGAAGCAAATTAAACAGTTTAAAAAATATTTATGGCCCTGGCCAGGTAGCTCAGTTGCTTAGAACACCATCCCCATATGCCAAGGTTATGGGTTCAATCCCCAGTCAAGGCACCTACAAGAATCAACCAATGAATGCATAAGCAAGTGTAACAACAATGAGATGTCTCTCTCTCTTTAAATCAATCAATAAGAAAATAATAATAAAAGTTAGGAATGAATTTAACAAAAAACTTTTACTCTTAATACTACAGAATACTGTTGAAAGAAATTAAATTAGCACTAACTCAATAGAAAAAAAATATGTAATGGGCAAAATATGTTGAAATGCTATACACAAAATCCAGTACAACTCTGTATTACTAAGCTACAACAGCTTTTTAAATGATATGTGCTTTGTTATTTCCTACAGCAGAACAGCGCAAAGCCAAATTCTGATATAATTTTTGCCAGGTGATAGCCCTCATAACTTTTGATTCCAAAAGGAATATCTTCAGTTTGCAAATGGTCACTGCTCCAGTAAGATATCATTTTGGGGATGGGGAAGCATAGTCAAATATCAAAAGCCTGGCCTATTTTCTCAATCAAAAACTGCCAAGAACTGCCTAACATGTGAAATGGAACCCAATCAGAACGTAATTCCCTGTGACTGTTAAAGCAGTTCTCTATGCACTTACAATTCTGTTCCCCAAAGGTTAAGCCTTGTTCCAGGGTCTCTACACGCCTACAGAAGACAGATGTCACATAATGCACGGGAAAGCTCCCCGAAGACGCCGTTTAGCCAATACCTCTGAGTGTCGGTCTACACTTCCCGTGTCTGATCCAGAGTGCTGCTCATTTACATCCTCCTCAACGTCTGACCCTGAGTCCCGTTCATCCTGCACTGGGGTAGCGCCACCATCATCTGCTTAAAAATAAAACAAAAACCCACTTCAGGTGTAAGATGAAGATCATCTCCAGGTATCAGGAACACAATGAATCAAGAATAACATGAGTAAAGGTTACCTCTGATGAAGCATAACTAATGTTGTAAACAAGACAACAGTGTAACACCCATAGAAATACCAACAATCATAACAGGGACTGGGACACACGTGGCAGAAAAAATACACCATGAAAGGAGTGTGAAGCTTGAGAAACATAACTAAGGACCAAGCCAACAACCTCTAAACAATAGTGTGCTCTCTGACTGCTTCAACTCCGTGACAACTGAGTCTGTGTGACCACAGCACTTACCCTCCTAATGGAATCTGTTCAATGTAAGCGCCCAAACTGCAGGGCCATGTTCCCGGGGAGTCCTGGAGCCGAGGCCTGCCCTGCCGGGACCTGGTGCACAGCACGTGCTTGTGAATGAGGAGCACACGGAATGCAGGTCAGAAGCACCGCAGTGTGACCGCCTTCAAGAGAGACATGTGCTGCACCACCACAAAGGGTGCCAATGAGCTGCTGCTCCCGCGCACCTCTGCTTTAGATGTAAATGAAAAGTGTACTGAGAGGAATGTAGGGCTGTTGCAGGATGTGGGAAGGCTTGGTTGATGTTTAGTAAAAATAAAAACAAATCCTTTTAAATAAAAACAAAGCCACCTACAGGAAAACAAAAAAGTTGCAGAAGAGTAGGATCACTCTTACACAGAGCTACTCGGCTAAAGAGTAAAGATTATGTAGTCATAATAAACCAGTAATTTGGAAATTTAACAATTACGCTGAACAGTGAGGGCAGGGGGAGAAGAGGGCACTAAGATGCAACTCTGTTCTCCCACAACAGGCCATACAAATGAAGCAACAAGAGCGCATGGGTTGGGACTGGGAGACAACACCGAAAAAGAATGTGAAGTTAGGGAACTGCTATTCTGCATGTTTTCAGCACTTAATCTTTATACAGGTATTGCATACAATTGCTTATCTAAGAAACAATGTAAAACTCAAATGAACTGAAACACTATTTTGAAAACGTTTACAGAAAAGCAGCAGTGCACGTTAAGAAAAGCGTTTGTAGTCTTAACTATTCTCTGAACTCAGACAGGAAGGAGGTTAAGGCGCTTGGACAGGGCACAGCCACGGGGCGTGCCCCCCGGTCTTGCCCCCCTCCCGCGCTGTACCCCCCCCCCCTCGGTCCTGCCCCCGGAGTGAGCGGGAGAGGCGAGGCGCCTGGGGCGGAGAAAGGCGGCGGCGGGCTGCGGAGAGGCAGACTCTCGCTCCGAGGGGAGGGCGTGGGCGCGCAAAGAGCGCTCGCTCTCCGGCCGGGCTCCACGGCCCGAGGGAAAGCCCGGCTGAGCCCGCGCCCGGCCCACCCACAGCCCGCCACTGGCACCGGCACCAGCGACCCGGCCCTGCACCCGGAAGGGGCTCCCACTCCCCCAACCTTCGCGGACCCGGAAGACCGCTCCCCCCTCCCCGCGCCCCGCGGCCCAGCCCCACCTGACTGGTCGCCGCGGTAAAAAGCCGGGTCCATGGCAGGCGGCCCGGCGGAGTCTGCGCCCCGCCGCCCGCTCCTCCTTCCCGGCGGGGTGACGCACCCCGACGGCGCGGCCGGGCGCGGGGTTCCGCCGCCTGCGCGGGAAGGTGCGGGAGCGGGACCGGCCTACGCGCCCGGCAAGAGAGCCGCCGGCCGGCGGAGCAGCGTGCGCGCCGCCGCTCCACTTCCCAGAAGCACCTCGGGCCACAATGGCGTCCGCTTCCGACTCTAGCGGGACGCAGCGCGCAGGCGCCGTCCCTCCGCCGGCCAATGGGAAGGCGCGGCGAGCGGGACGCCCGCCCAGACGGAAGGGTCGCGGGAGCTCGGCCCGGTCCCTCGGAGGCGGCCTGCGCGGTGGCTCCGTTATGACCGCGCTGGCGCCTGGGCGAGGAACTCCTGAGCTGCCCTCCGGAAGATAAGGCCCCGGCGGGACCCTGCCGTCCTCCCAGCCCCCACGTCCCGCGGTGCAGGATCCGCCCCTCCCGGCGCCGGGCCGCGGCGCGGGGCTCCCTGGGGCTTGTAGTCCGGGCGGCGCTGCCTGTCCGCCCAAGCGCTCCTTTCCGGGCATCTTTCTGCCTGTTAGTTAGCGGCTTCAAGCCCGTCTGAAGAAGCCCTGGACCCCAGGAAGTACAGGCTTCTGCTTCCAGAAAGATCCCCGCTGAAGGGGCCCCCCAGCCTTCCTGCCGAGCTCCGGGGAACGGCGGCCCGGCCCGCCCGCGCTCCGCTGAGCCACCCGCGCCGCGCCGCAGGATGGCAGATGGCCCGTTACTCCGGCGAAGGCGGCGAAGGCTTCCTTTTTTCTGAACCTGCTGCTCCCCCCCCCCCCCCCCCCCACACACACACACACACCTGCCGCCTTGTGTAATGAATGAAGTTGAGATTAGAACTTTTTACTCCCCTGAAAATAGACATTTCTGCTCCCCTGGCTGAAAGTTCTGATTGTAAAACAATCCCAACTGCAAACCACCACCTTCCTCCTGTGGCAGCCTAAGGAAAGTCACCTGCCTGGATGGATGCTCTGGTCTTCATGTCTGTGCTAACTGGGAAACATTCAAACGTGTGAAGAATTTTTGTGTGCTTATTTAGGCCAAACAGGTGACAACGGATTGAGAAAATGCTCTGAGAATGGCAGCTTTGCACCTTGTTTTGAAGCATAGTAACCTCCATCTGGTATAAAAACTCCTGTTGGAAATTCTCTGCTATTGTTATAGTCCCTTGTTCTGTAAACTGTTATTTTTAGCCCGTCTCTTATTCATAAAATAACTTTTAGTTTAAATAATAGAAAAAGATAAAAACAACTGCCTGACCTTACAAGATAGCCATCTAACATAATGGACTAATACTGATAATAACTCATATTCTTAAGCCAAATGTTTGTTCTTTATGTATCCAAGATTACAAACTGTCACAATAACTCACACAGAGCTCTTTGTAAAACCTGCAGACACAGAGCCGAGAGGTATAAATACGGGAAACTTCCTCTGTGTCTTCGCTCAGAGATATGGAAGAAACACCTGCCTCTGGGCCATGCAATAAATGGCTCCTAATTAATTGGCTCATAAAGAGTCTTGTATCTATCTCGCTGATTTAGGATTCAACAATTTATACATTATAATCCAAACAGTAAGTGGATTACATGAAATCCATTGGTGATAGATTGGGGGCGGGGGGGGGGGGAGCAAAGCAGGGAAACCTCTGGGATTGGGTAAAAAATAAAAAGATAGACATACTTCCTTTACACAGGTGGGTGCAGGATAATTAATAGTCAGCAATTAACTCACTAGCGATGAGGGAGTTTGTGATCTCCACAGAGCTGTGCCTGTGCTTTGATGGGTCCAGAAAAAGGAAAATCACAATATTCCAACTATGTGTTCCTAGAGGCCCGGCGCATGAAAATTCATGCACTGGAGGGGGTCCCTCAGCCTGGCCTGCCCCCTCTCACAGCCTGGGAGCCCTCAGGGGTGGGCGATGCTCCATCACACCTCTGCTGCCAACAGTGCAAACCTTGGCCGGTCCTGGTCACCTGTGCCTCAGACTGGCCCTGGGTAGCGGGGCAGCTGCCATCTGAGGCTTTCCTGCACCTTGGTCCAGCCCTGAGGGTGCCCGAGGAGGGGGGGGGGGCTGAGAGGACTGGGGGGCTCCGGACCAGGCATGTGAGTGGCTGGACCTGCCTGGGGGGCATGCCCAGCTGTGCCACGCACCTGCTGCCCTGGTGGGGCTGAGGATACTGGGCGCCACCATCTTTGAAGGCATGGCAGTCAGTATATTCCCTCCTTATTGGCTGTGGACGCTGCCGTCTTTGTGAGGGTGTGATGGTCAATTAGTATATTCCCTCTTTATTAGATAGGATGGTAGATACAAAAGGACAATAGACAGGCTCAGCTAAGGTAAAGACCCACCTTGTCAGGGAAGATACCAGCCTAGGACATGACTACCCACCATAAACTGCTGTTTAGTTTAAAATGTTTTCATTTCAGACCATCCTTTGGGGTTACTTTAGGTCTCTAAGTTTGCAAAGGTAGGCCTCCCCTGAGCTTGTCAGGTTGGCACGCGACCCCCTTTCGTCCACACTGGAGTACTCTTCCTATTGCAATGTCCTGAATAGAATCCATCTCCTTACTTGTTTATTTTTGTCTTAGACAAAGCGGAGAATTTTCTTGCCTTTTGATTGGAGGAGGGACAGTGGAGGTATAAGCAAAGATTGCCCAAGAGGTGCAGGCTTTCAGAAATAAGGCCTTTGTTAGTTGGCAAAGTTGACTTGCATCTTGGACGGGATTTCTAAGCATGTCTATAGCCTCTGTAAGGCCTCATTTGATGCACTGGGAGGTCCACCTCCTACTTCAGAGTTGAGAGATGGGGATTCTTTGATGCCAGCTCTGCTGCAAATTCCCAGAATGCTCTGAGTCAGACCACATCCCACTTGTAATCATCTTTGAACCTGTTGTTAGCCAGTTTGCATGCTGGCAGAACAAAGGTCTAGGCTTCAGAAAAGGGCACAGGAAGAGAAGGAAGAAAGAGGTGTGGTTTCTTTCTGGAAATACTAATCTACACTATTAAAAGAGAAACATGCAAATTGACCATAACTCTGCTATGCCCACTAGCGATGCCCACCAGCCAATCAGGAGCAAGTATGCAAATTAACCCAACCAAGATGGCTGCAGCCATGAGCGAGCAGGAGGCTTGGGATTTCCCAGTGACGGAGGAAGCTAAGCTTCCTGGCCTGCCCTGGCCTCTGCTCAAGGCTACAGAGTTTCAATTGTAGAAGGTAAATAAATTCCAGATACCAGGGCCTCCGCTTGGATTGCCAGGGGCATGGCTAGCCTGCAAACCACCACAGGCCTCTCGCTCAGGCCACCCCACACTCCAAAAGAACCCGCACTCTGATCCAGGACACCCTTCAGGGCAAACCAGCCAACCCCCACCCATGCACCAGGCCTCTATCCTATATAATAAAATAGTAATATGCAAATTGGCCATCACTCCAACACAGAAGATGGCTGCTCCCATTTGGTCAAAGATGGATGCTCCCATGTGAACACAAGATGGCCAGCAGGGGAGGGCAGTTGGGAGAGACCAGGCCTACAAGGGAGGGCAGTTGGGGGCAATCAGGCCTGCAGGGAAGGGCAGTTAGGGGTGACCAGGCCAGCAGAAGAGGGCAGTTATGGAGAAACCAGGCCTGCAGGGGAGAGCAGTTGGGGGAAACCAGGCCTGTAGGGGAGGGTAGTTTTTTGTGTGTTTTTTTTGGGGGGGAGGGGGGACTAGGCATGCAAGGGAGAGCAGTTAGGGGTGACCAGACCTGCAGGGGAGGGCAGTTAGGGGCAATCAGGCTGGTAGGGGAGCAGTTAGGCATCAATCATGCTGGCAGGGGAGTGGTCAGGGGATGATCAGGCAGGCAGGCAGGCAGAAGTGGTTAGGGGCAATCAGGAAGGCAAGCAGGCGAGCAGTTGGGAGGGTGCAGGCAGGGTTGAGGGACACACACCCCTGTGCACAAATTTCATGCACCAGGCCTCTAGTCTATATTATATATAAAAGCCCAGCATCCATTATGGCAGAATGACAGAACAACCAGAATGATCAGTCACTATGATGTGCACTGACCACCAGGGGGGCAGACACTCAACATAGGAGCTGCCCCCTGGTGGTCAGTGTGCTCCCATAGTGGAAGCGTCGCTGAGCCAGAAGCCGGCTCAGGGCTGGTGAGTGCAGCGGTGGTGGCGGGAGCCCCTCCCGCCTCTGCAGCAGCACTAAGGAGTGGTGAGCCAAGTGGTGAGGAGTGAGCAGGCAGGCAGTTAGGAGTGAGGGTTCAGACATCCCTCAAAGAGTCCCTGATTGTGAGAGGGTGAGAGGGATGCAAGAATTTCGTGCATCGGGCCTCTGGTTTTCTTAAAAGAGAATTCATGGGTATAACTTGCCCTGTGTAGTGAAAACAACTTTGAAATCCAAGGCTGCGGTGAGAATCAGAAGAACAAGGAATGAACAGGACCTGGAACCAAACATGCAAAGTAGAAATACTTCTCTCCATTTGATGGCAAAGGGCCTCGGATCGGAGCTTTCCTGAAGAGAGTGAGATTGTGCTGTATAAATAAAGCAAGGTGAATAGGACAGAACTCCAGGGAGAGGTTTCATGAAAGGTAATCCAGGGAAAAGCCTGCTAAGAAGGACCTTGGATTTAACCAGAGGCCCAAGAACAATGGCCATGCAAGACATTGGAATAAACACTGCGATTACAAGAGAATAATCAGTGAACTTTAAAAGGAAAGATTCTAACTGGCCTGGTTGTTTCGAGAGTGGAGACAAAGCAGGATAGAAAGAAGTTGGGGCAAGTTCCTGACAAGTGGGATGGGGAAGTAGGATTGGACAACACCTGCTGGTAAGCTGCTAGGTCCTCTCCCCAGAGCCCCACTCCACACAGGACCAACGGGACTGTTTACAACAGGCAGTTCCCGTGGTGGTCACCAGGAGTCCACAGCGGGAGCTGGCTAAAACCAGATGCACCC